TATGGCCACCAAGGAATTGGGAGCTTCGGCCAATGGTCTCTTGTTTGGCGATGCATTCATCACAAATTAAAGAAACTTATGTCCTCACAACACTCAACAAGGCCCAGACAGTGCTACGACAGGTCTTTCGGGCCCCACCACAGCCGCTGTTGTTGGTAGGGCTGGTCGGCAGACCCAGCCCTCCCTCATCTTCGTTCTACCCAAGTTCCGCCTACCGGCAACCCTCACACATGCAGGGAGGTTGTCTCTTATCTTCCAGAACTGGAGGGACATCTGGACGGATGCCTGGATCCTCCAAACGATACAGGGATACGTAATTTTCAACCGTCCCTGTTCAACCACGACCACCACCTCCTCTCTGGGTGTCCGAGGCTCAGGAACACCTCATAGATGATGAAATACAGGCACTGCTTACCAAAGGCGCAGTTCAGATTGCTCCTGACGGCGAAGGTTTCTTCAGCAACATCTTCCTGGTATGAAAGAGAACAGGCGATTATCAGCCAGTCATCAACCTCCAACAATTGAATACTTTCATAATCTATCGCTACTTCAAGATGGAGGGCATCCATTTACTATGCAACCTCTTGCTGAAGGACGATTGGTTCACACGTCTAGATCTCAAGGACACTTACCTATCGGTACCAATTGCACCTTCTTGCCGAAGATTCCTACGGCTCCGTTGGAGAAATTCCACCTGCCAGTTCACCTGTCTTCCGTTCGGCCGCAGTTTGGCCCTATGGTGTTTCATAAAATTGCTTAAACCCATCATGGCGCATCTAAGAGCTCTAGGAGTGCGGTGCCTGATTTACCTAGACGACTTACTGATCTTCTGCAAATTGGCCTCACAACTAGTATCTCAGATGAAATTTATCATAGACTTTCTCGAATTGCTGGGATTCGTGGTGAATCAGGAGGAGTCGTCTCTTAAACCGGCTCAAGTTATTCAATTTCTAGGGTTCGAGATCGACTCCACGACATGCCTCCTACGTCTCCCTCTGTCGATTGCTGCCATCCGAAAAGAAATTCGGAAAATCCTGCGACTACAACTCATTCCTCTTCGACTCCTGGCCCGAGTTGTGGGTCTACTGTCCTCTTCTATCCAGGAAATATACCCAGGTCCCCTCAACTACAGAGTCATGCAACGACTAAAGGTTCACTTCTTGCGAGCAGGTTACTCATATGATCAGATGATACCAATCAACTCAGAGGTGCGCACGGAACACTGTTGGTGGCTCCTCCATATGCAAGCCTGGAATGTGAAAGCCACTTTAGGCCCTTCACAAAATTTCGTGGTGGAATCAAACACCATCCTCTGGGGCTGGAGAGCACATTGTGCAGACTCCTCCACAGAGGGCCCATGGCTACACGAGGAGTCAGAGATGCACAACAACTGCTTGGAATTAATACTGGGCTTGTTTGCCATCTGCAGCCTGGCCAAGCACGTGTCAAATTGTTGAATACTACTGCGCATGGACAACATTTCAGTGTTACAGAATTTCAATCACCCGGGGGCAGAGCTCAATCTCAGGTACTCTCAAAGGCAAAGAAAAGTGGAAACAACACCCAGTACACGTATATGAAAAATTCTTAACAACCTAGAAATATGGACCAGGATGGGTAGATCAATATCAGATCTATAATAATAACCGACAAAACATAGCGTAATACAGTCAATGGAAGCAAATTAGATATGTGGTGTTGGGAGAACGCTCACAAACGTGATGAATCAGGCTTCTCACCCCACCAGAGGTTAAAATGAATCAGGAGGATGGTAAATCTCAGATGGTGAAAATCCTTATATATACCAAGGAAAAAGACTACACATAGTGAGGTAAAATTAAAACCAAAAGAAAATGTATTGCACTTACAGACAGGAAGAAATCATGGGCATATCTCCACAGAAGGTGGAACTTCGCAGCAGCGTGGCAGATCTTGGAATACCAACAGCAGAAAAGTGGATAATATAGAAAAACAGGTTATAAAAGAAAGAAAAATCTCGAGAAACAAAAATCCATAAAAGTCCATATACAGTAGTGTATCCAACGCGTTTCGTCCAATAGGGGACTTCCTCAGGAATCTATGGTAATTCATCGTAACAGGGACTTCTTTTAATGCTGATAATCCTTGTGGATTCTTTTCGCCTGATGGTTGTTGTGTGCGTTCCACTGCGCAAAGTAAAGACGTACATCCTGTGCAACCAGGGCAAATGACGTGGTCGTTCGTATGCGGCATTCGGATGAATACAGAGGCAGCTGATACAGTGCGTGCGCATGCTACTGAGAAAACATGCGCACACGCGAAAAGAGTAACCAAACAAAATCTGAATGGGAAAAATAAGACAAAATAGGCGAACAGTTGCCTTAACATATATAACATAATCTAAGTAATATCAAAAGGGGATAGCAGACCTAACTGATATTCTGTGCTGTATGGAGAAGTTCAAGGGAATGGGAACAAACTATAATGAATGAATAGATAATATAATAAATATAGAAAAAAAGAATCAATATGAAAATAATTGGAATAAAAATAATAATTAATTAAATATATGTATGGAAAAAATTGTATATCTATAAAAATATATAAATAGCGAGGGCTTGTGCTCCTGGTGTAATCCTGTGGTGCCCGGTGCTGGTCTGGCAAGGATCATGTAGACATAGCAGAAATGACCGCACTCCAAGGACTTTATAGAGATTTTCAAATAAAATTTGACTTTTATTCAATCCATTTAAAAAGTCAACGTTTCAGCTACCACATGGAGCTTTCATCAGGACAAAACATAAATATAAATATAAATACATATATAAAAAAGTGTATATAAAGATAGAAAAAATTATTCTTGGGTTCTTGGGATGTCCTTGGACTATCACAGATGACTAAGGACCTCCTATGTGATGTGCCCCAGGTACTTGACAATGCTACCTGGCAGTCTGGAACAAATGGTATAGCTGGTGTATAGAGAGAGATACAGATCCCTTTACTGCTCCTGTCTCTGTCATATTGAATTTCCTGTCTTCAATTTTTTTTAGGTAGGCCGGTCTTACCGTTCGGTTAACGTTATGCGTTCGGCAATGTCGGCGGCTCACACCCCTTTACAAGGACGTCCGGTGGGGCAGGATCTATTGGTTTGCCACCTCATGAGAGGTATGCGTTTGTCTCACCCCCCCCGGTCCGAAGTACTCAAGTCTTCTGCTGACTGGTCTCGTGAAGATACGTTTCAGATTTTTTATTTTCGTCCTGCTGCTCATGCTTCTTTCACTCTTCTTCCATACGCATTAAAAATGCAAATATGAAGCCTCCTGTCATGTGGTAAAATTGTAGATTATGCTATAACATAGAAAAATAGAAACATAGAATGTGATGGCAGATAAGAACCATTCGGCCCATCTAGTCTGCCCAGGTTTCTAAATACTTTCATTAGTCCCTGGCCTTATCTTATAGTTAGGATTGCCTTATGCCAATGTAGTGTACCTATAATCTTAATTTTAGTAATGACAGGAGGTGAATATTTCCCACCTTTCTTCCTCTCCCTATACTGGTGTTATTTACCTTCTATTTGTTTCCAAGTCCTTATGATGCTTACACTTATTTTTCCTAACTGTTTGATATTTATTATTGTACAATTCTAGTTCAGATATGTATATGTTATTTTATCACAATAATTGTATTGATAAACTATGGTTATTTCACTACCTTTCCCTCTTTCCTGTTCTTTCCAATGTGAAAAATAGCATTATACATCGGATCTACCCATTGTATTCTTACTGTTCAAGCGGTTCTTGGAGTTACATTGGATCCACGTCGTTACTTGAGTTGTCATCGTTGGACTTGTTCATCGGAATATTAATTCACTTCAAAGAAAGAGGAAAAGGAAAGCACCACAGAACTATATGTAGTAATAACACTTGATTCTGATTGGTTTAAACTTTTGATTGATCTGTGCTGCTGGACACTACGTTAGCATAATCCACAATTATATGACACTTTATATAAAAATAACCCAAATGCTCCAATGTAGAAAAATGTAGAAATCTAATTTTTGATTTTTCTACTTTGGAGCATACTATGTGTTACTTCTATATATAGTGACATAGAATTATATTTGAGGACTTACTTAGATAAACCAGACAGCTCTTCCCATCCCTTTTGGGAGAGCAATTAACTACTGTTTGTATTTTGAAGGGTCATGCCTTGCGACCAATCTGAAAGGTCCTGGTAATGTGGTCTGGTTTTTAGTCAGGCCAAATATTAGTTTCTCACCAACACGTACAACATGCATTACATATATCTGATAATTTAAAATTCAGCCAGTGTGAAAACTTATTTTTTTCTCCATAGCCCCAGCTTGCTAATCACACTGTTTCTTAATAGAGAATAACTGGGAACTCTAACTAGGTAATCAATTTGTATATGGGAGGGATTGATTATGAGGGGATGTATATGAACCTTAAAATTTCAAATCAAACATGTCCTTAGCAACCTTCCTGAAAATTAAGTTTTATGAAATTAAATAGCAAGTCATATTACATTTTTAAAATGTTTCCTCAGAGATTGAAGCTTTTTTTAATTATTAGTTTTTATAGAATAATTTCATGGGTTGACAACAGCACATCTATTGGTTTTATAGCTTTATCCCCTATCCAGGGAGATATGCACTGCCCCTGTTAAGAGGCTGGAAAATTCTAGGCAATCAATATGAGACACTAACCAACAAATGCATTGAACACATAAAACATGCTAAACAAACTTGTATGCTAAGGGCAAAAACATAAAAAGTAGACGATATGTATATTTCATATTGATAATCAATTGACATTAAACATTGATAGACAAACAGAAATACATATATCTGGATTTAATATTTAGTGTAATGCAATGTTGTTAGCTTTTTTTATACACTTTCATTCCATACACCTCTATTAACCCAATTTTTACCAAAGGCCTTCTAATAAATTGTCGGATGCTGTCAGTTACCTACCCTGTCTTTGTTCTGTGGCCATTGTTTGTTCAGTCATTTTTAGTAGCCACTTAGTCACAAACACTGGCCAAATATTAGTTTTTTGCTTTTTTTCACGCAAAAACAAATATGAACGCTAACTTTGGCCAGTGTTTGTGACTAAGTGGATACTAAAAAAGACTGGAAATACCCAACTTGCAATACCTTGTGTTGTGTACTTTTGCAAATGGTATGCCATCATGGGGGTAATTCTCATTCCTGGGCTACCACAGGGTCTCAAAGATACCTTTACTAATCTGGCAAATTTTAATGTGAAACAAATGAAAAATGGAATGTGCTATATTGGACCCTGTAACTTTCCAAAACATTGTAAAATCTGTTAATGGGGGGTACTGTTATACTTGTGAGACTTTGCTGAATCCAAATATGTGCATTTCATTACAGTAAAAGCGAACAGTATTATGACATTTACAGCAAAATTGTCAGGCGGAACTACAATTTATTTATTTTTAAATCTTAATTTCTCACAGTTTTTTTATTTTATTCATAATAATTTATGTTTCATATATGAATGAGAAATTAAAGCCCTGTTTCTCCTGAACAAAATTATATACAATAAGTGTGTGTGCACTTAATATGAAAGAGGTGAATTGCGGTTGAACAGACATATAGCGCAAATTCTAGTTTTTGTTTCCATTTTGTTTTGATCAGAACGTGTACTATTAACTCTGCCCTGAAGGGGTTAAACTAATAAACAAACCAAATTGCTTACATATTGCATTACATGTTCAGAAGCTTCACCACTAAACAGATGTGTAGTAAATGCCATTATATTTGTTCTATGCCTTCCAAGAAGTCATTAGAATGTCAGTTTAGATTGACATTGTGCCCTTTCATTAGTTTATTTATCTTGCTGTGGGAGTCCTTGAAGAAAAAGTTTATCAATCTACCATTCCATTTTATAAAACCTTAGGGTGAAACACGTTTTGGGATATTTTTCTTTGCAAAATCTTTGTAAAAGTTTTTTACACCTTATATTTTATTTTGTGCCTGGAATAAAACTGTACTTATCGCTAATACTCTGGATATCCCTGTCTTTTTTGTTTCTGGGCTACCAATATTTGGTAATGGTGAATGCCACCCATATCAGCACAAAGCTTATACCAACTTTCCAAATAGAGCGGTAATTATATTGGCATTCTTCCTTAACATATGATCAATTTGACTCTATTTCTAGCTCTAACCAACCATTATTGGTTACCACTTTAATTTCTTCCTCCATTTGAAATCACTGGTTATGATAGCATTTACAGTTACTATCAAATTGGCTTCTGTAATACTTCATACTCATCCGCTATTCTTCTAGAACTCCTTGATTGTAACTAAGACCTTTATCTTTTATCATTGATTCTTGTCTTTTTTTTTAAAGTATTTCTATACCATTAAAGACCTCATTAGTCCTTCCAAATGCAACCTCATACTTCATTCTTTAATGTCATGAATTTCTACTTATACACCCACCAAATCCACATTCTTTTACTGAGAGACACTAGCTAATTTCCACTTGTTGCTAATCTTCCTATTCTGTGCTGATATTTCTAGAATTTTAGGTACATTATTTGCATATCAATTCCTATATCCTGCAATGAAGTCAAAACAAAATCAAGCATATCTAATTTATATTAAGCAAGATTAAGTAGGCTCAGTGAATCCACATAAATCCCTTGCACATACTTTCTTTCAAGAGTGCCTCACTTGCGTAGACCTCATCACTGCTCGATTCTGCTGAAGTTAATTGCATGTCCTTGTTTTGTAATCATGATCAGTTCTTACTGACTAAAGAATCAGGATATGTTGTGAAGTTAAGAATGGTACAGAAGTTAAGAATAGAAATGTATGACAGTACTAAAGAACTAAGCAAAGGCTAATGGCCAACATGACAAGCTCTTATTCCGCAATCTCTTGTATTCAAGAGGAACACTGCCCGATTCAGCATATTGTATCTACCTGCTATAGGGAATTGTGTTTCTTAGAAGTTCTTAGAAGACTCAGTAATTGCTCTTAGCTGACTGACAACAACATAGTTGAGACTGGTACACTGTAGTCAAAGCATGCCCTGAATTATTTTTAATTGAATAGGGAAAATCTCAAATATAGTCAAAATAAAGGTTACCTTGGAGTCTAGGCAGGGTATACAACAGACTGATAGGGAATCAGAACTATAATGTAGTTCTTATAATTGGTCGAGAACTTTTGAAATACTTGTCATCAGCTGACAAAATGATATAAGGAGCAACTTTTAATAGAACTGGAGCCTGAAAATAACAGGATGTCAGTAAATTGGCAGTTGTCTGCCAGATGGTTCATCAATATATTAATCTTGGAAGTTTAATATATTTTTTATCTTTATAGACTGCTTTTGAAGATAACTTTTTTATCCTTAGATTAGATTTGGTCTACAATGGCATATTTTAATGCAACAATTTATTTTTTCCAAGTTTATTGTGGTCTCCTGAATATAAGAGGGTGTATGTCATATAACACTTTTTATGTGAGTGTCAATAGACGTTCCAGTTCTTAAGGTCTTCTCCAGCCTGAGATAATTACCTACTTTTATACTCAATAGACACAGATATAAGATATACAATATAGCAGAATATTCTGTGTTATCAGGCGCTTAAATTAAATAGTAACAGGTGCTCTTATAGTGCAGCAGCTCTCACACAAAAAAATAGGTACTCTTCAGTCCTATCGTGATTACATGTGAAAAAGAACACTTATTTACATAACCAGTATGAAAAAGTGACAGTGTGTAGCGCTAAATAATATCGACTTACACCATGAGGAACTTTAGGGATATGAAATATATATATATATTCTCCTGAATCTTGGAGGGTATAGGAGATATATATACTGTGGAGAAAATGGAAAAAATATATAGTGCACTCTGTGCAAACAGGCGTAGTGGTAGATCATATAATAGGAAGCACTCACGTGGTTCAGAGCCTATTATGGATTGGCTCTTAATCACTCTTGCCTTGTGTCCTTTAGGTGACACACACCTTCAGCTCCCAATAAGGAATAACCCTCAAAATAAAAAAGAAACAGGGGGAAATCCGCCCTAGTGTTGAAATCCTTAGAGACAACAATATATAAACATATATATGCAGGTGAAGATTGCTTCTCACCTGAACCAGAGCCTGTAACCTGGCTCTAAGTAGAAAGGCATATGAGTCCTTTTATGGGATGACTCCTTCCCTCTTTAATGGATGGAAAATGTACCAAATATACTGTTGAAATTTAAAATGGTATTTATTACATTCATATAAAATCAGTCTTGATACATACAGTATACTGGTGTCCAAAACGCCTTTCGCCGATTCCGTTCGGCTTTCTCAATCGGTGATTTCCATCCAGTTCTCTTCCTGTTTATAAATCCCGCCTCCCGTCCTGATTGGTGGTCAGAGATCGAGAACCAACCAATCACGGACGTTTCTGCGGGAGAGGGTAAAGTGCTCCAGCTTTATTATTTTATCCCTTAACGGTGACATCATCACGCACGTACATGTGATCGTGCGGACGGTGTCACTTCCGGGAATGTGAAAACACTGTATTCACAACATTAGTCTTCAATGTCCGGTTCTCATCTCCTCAATTTGGCCGACATCGCTTCCCTTTCTCTCAAGGTTCTCCCCTCCAGCTCCTCATTCCTCCATTTTGATTAGTGGCAAAGAGGGTTGAAGAAATCGTGAACACAAGTTCATAGTAATATTTTTCAGTCCTAAGGCAAATATGCTCATATTTGAGCATTTGGGCATAAAGAACAATAAAGTGCATCAATTTGTTATATTTTACAGAGAAAAATATATTTAAAAGAGAACACATATACATTTTTAAATAAGAGATGTACAAGGTATTAATGATGTTCCAGCCACTAAAAATAAAAGGAATCTTTAATATAATTTAAACATTAAAAAAATATATATCAATAAAAATTGATTATAAAAATCACTATAAAAATTGACCCAAAAATGACTAAAACTTTTTTATAAAAAGTGGCATAGTTCAAAATCATCATTAAGACCATAAGGTTGCATGGTGTTTAAATTAAAAATCCATCTCATCTCTGTTTGTCCAATTAATTTCATAGGGTCACCACCTCTCCAATTTCCGACTATTTTCTGAATTCCCATAAATTCCATCAATTGGGGGTTACTATTATGTTGGTTTTTAAAGTGCAAGGACACACTATGATTAAGGAACCCTTTTTTTTATGTTCCTAATATGTTCCTGGATTCTGGTATTTAAAGTCCTATTGGTCCTTCCTATGTAGGCTAAACCACAAGGACAAGTAATCATATATATTAATTTAGTTGTGTAACAAGTAATAATTTGTTTAATTTTAAAACTTTTATTCTTGTCCTGTGGGTGATTAAATTCTCTTACAGTTCTCTTACTATTTTTGGAACCCTTACATGCTCCACACATGCCGCATCCGTAAAAACCTGGTTTTTCTTTAAAAAATTGGTTCGTCAATTTCCTAGAGGTTATATGATTTTTTGTTAACGTCCTCTTAAGGTTTGGCACACCTCTATATACTATGTCAGGTGTATCAGGAAGTATTGAATTCAGTATAGGGTCATTCTTTAAAAGTGGCCAATATTTCCGAATGATTTTCTTTAGACCTCTACTGTTATAGTTAAAATCACAAATAAATTTTAAATTCTGTGGTTCTACATTCACCTTGATTTCTTTATATTCTATTAATTTTGTCCTATCCTCATTTTCTACTTCGACAAGGGCTTTGTTTAAAAGTTCATCTTTATACCCCTTCTCTCTAAAATCTTTTATTATTTTCTCCGATTGTTCATAAAATTTATGTTGATCCGTACAATTTCTTTTCACTCTAAGTAATTGCGCTTTAGGGGCGTTTAACAGCCAAGGGGAAAAATGGCAGCTATTTTCCCCTATATAGCTGTTAACGTCCACCTTCTTAAAATGAGTACAGGTTTTAAGTGTATTTTGTTCAACATAAATATTGAGGTCTAGAAATTCTACAGAACTCTTATTAAAATTACTTGTAAGTTTAATACCCCATTCATTTTCATTAAGATAATTTAAAAATGATAACAGTGATGTCTCGTCTCCATCCCATATAAAAAATATATCGTCAATGTAACGGCGATAGGTC